CGATAATGTGAAAGTGTAACAAAGATAGACATAAAACGGTACTAAACAGACGGGCGCATGCGCACAAAAGTGTCAAACCTGACGTTTATCGTTTTGTTGTGTCACAGCCAGTCACACCGTTATGTTTAAAAATGTATTGTTTCGTGTGCAAAGTTCGCGATAATACAGTTTCACATCACCTGTAAGTATTATAAATGTTACTTCTAATTGATAGTTTTGTGTCTATCTCGGTTCGATCACCTTGCGCAAGCTATCTCTCTCGTTGGCTCAATCCATATTATATATGATCAAAGACTTCATGCAACTTAATTCAGTTAATTTTAATTTAAGTTATTAAGTTAATTCGCAAATATCTTTTAATAAAAAAAAACCAGTTGGCAACATTGAAAATTTGCCCCCTTTATCTGTCATACCTCAAAATTTAGAGGTTAGAATTAGTAAATTTATGTCAAATTTTGACATTTTAGGTTATGTCTTAGTAGTTTTAAATCACACCGTATATTAACACATTATTATCTTAATTATTTTAATGTTACAAGTGAAGTTCTTTCTTTCCTTTATTCAATGCAGATTATGCCGAAAATCCGGGGCATTTATCTCTTATCGTCGTTTTCTATAGCTTGAGGGTCGACGTGATCCGGTAATTGGTGCTCGAGTTCTCGAGGATTTAAGAGTTCCGCTTGAGGCCGTCTGTAACCTACGAAGAGAAGAGCGGAGAACGCGCGCTGTCCCCGAATCAGTACGACGAATAATGCGGCCGAATAATCTGGCGAGCAATTAAAAGCCTTTCTGATTTAAGAACCGGGCGGTGCGAGCGCCCCGCTGTAAATCAGAAGACTCCGACGATAATGCGCCGGGGGGCGCCGGTGGCTGAGTTGCTACTTTGCCGCTGCCGAAGTCCCCGCGGCATCATGCGATTTACAATCGACGCTTCACCGTAAAGTATCTTGTCAAGAAAAAATTTACTCTTTATTTAGAACAAAAATATGATTTGAATGTTTAAAAATTTAACCTTTAAAATCCATTTAAGGTGGAGAAATAAAACTTCGAGTTTGAGACGATAACGATAACCAGCTTATAAAATGCAGATTTAAACCCTATTTAAAACCGAACCATGCGAAGAGAATCTTAAACAGACTACATTCGTTATTGTCCCCATTGCCCTACGAATAAATTGTGCACCACTCTACTTGTCCCGCTTTATTCGGATTCCATCGAGAGCAAAAGGAATAATACTAGCTTTGGAACGGCTCCTTCTAACTAGATTGCGTTTGAAATTTATCAGTTTCCGTTCGCGTCCCAGTTCGCGCGTGATTCTCTTTCAGATTATTATTCAACTTCGGGTTCGTTTGATTGTTCGGATCCGCGGTCTGATTTAATTCCAGTGATACAGCGACGACGTCTTTGATCGAATTTGCGCCCGAATTTATTCGAATTTTAAATATTTTTTTTCGAATTTAGTTTTTAAAATAGTGCCATTGATAAGTAAATATAAATAAGTGGTGTGTTAACATTTACAATGTAAATCTGTCGAAACGGTGCAAGTTTCCGCTTCACTCATCTGTCGACAGAACTGGGCCGCAATTGAATTTAGATCAAAGCAGTGAGGTGGTGGATGAAGGAGGTGAAATTCCACCCCATCTCTTGCGGATTATACGCGTTCACACAGAGAGAATAAGAGAGAGAGGTTGATTTTGGTTGTCGAATTGGACTCCGACGACAGATGTGTAAAGGATTTGCGCGAGGCGACACCCAAAATGGATTACAATTACACGGTATTACACATGTCGTACTGTTTGCCGTTCTACTATGTACTCAATCGATTGTATCAATAGTTTCGAATTGAAAACCAACAAAGTGTTTTCTATGAGTACGAAGACTTTCAACATCGGTATTAATTGAACTAAAACTAAAACCTAGAAATAGAATTAATAATAGATCTACAACTAGAAACTTTCAGATTAAATCAGGCGTTTTTTGATAAATTTTTATTGAACTAACACTAGTTTTAGTTCTAGTGATACTAGATAGTGCTATGTTGTATATTTGTATATTTTTAATGAATTAAAACTAACACCAGACCTAGAACTAGTGCTACTTACTAGACGTAGTAAGTTAAACTGAATCTCTCACATAGACTATGCGAGGAAAAAGGACATTATGGCTAACCAGATCTGCCACAGGCTTCTCGGAAAGAACTTTTAAACCACGAATGGCTCATTATTGGGCCTACGTAGCAATAATCAGACCCATGATCTTAATATAACGGGTGCAATGAGATCTTGTCCGACGGCTACTCTTGAAGCCCTACTGGGTCTTGCCACTTCATTTATATACAGGGTGAGTTATTAGTATCCCGGCGGACGATAGTTGCTAAACCGTTTGAGAAAGAAAAAGCTATTTTCTACAAAAGTTGTTTGACTCACCACTTTCTATTGTGTAAAATTATTTTCACTTATACAGGATGTTCCAGTTAGGCGTAACGGAGAGTATATAGATTTTTTAAATGGAACATCCTGTATATTTTATCATATTATGAATAGAATTAAATTTGTTTATACAGCCGTATATGTTACTAATTCATAACGTTCATAGTTCTTGAGATATCCAGTTGTTTTTCCAAAAGTGTTTTTCCAAAAAGTGTTTTTCAAAAAGTTTTTCCTTGAACCTGTGTCAGATAATAGTCAAAGCCAGTAGGTAAATGATAGTATCCAAAGATATTAGGTACCATATACAGCGTGTTCATAAAGCTTAGTTACTTTTGATGTTTTTTTAATAGCTTTTTCTTAAGTTTTGGAAAATAATAATGGAACATCCTGTATATTGTGTGCTGGTTGACTTGCCTATCAAGTTACCTTTAATTAATGATAAGTATGTCATATATCTAACTTTAGTAGTTTTCCTGATATTTAGAATTTAAAGAATAATGTGTAATAAAATATGCGTTATTGTATTTAACATATATCATCGACTTGGTACTTTATGAGATTTAAAAAGATGTAAGTAATAAAATATGTAATTGTTCCGCCATATAATTTACGACTTTAAAGAAAATAAGATGTACATGTTAAGAGATACCTCAAGATCTTTTAAACAGCGCCTTAATGCTTGTAGAAGAGAAAATGGGCGGCATTTTGAACAACTTCTAAATATAAATTAAATTAATACCTACTTGTTGAGCAACGTTTAGTAATTGTTTACAGTTTGTTGCTTCATTTCATTCAAATAATTTAGTAATTAAAAAAGGGATTTATTGTTCTGCCATTTAATTGTATATTTATCACGTTTTGATTATTTAATTATTAAAGTTTTTTCTTCAATTGTATTTTAATATAATATTACTGATTTACAAATGACAAACAAAAAAAGGACAGAATATATAACATTCTTTCACTTTTTTAAGTACAATAATGACATTTTATTACACATTTTTCTTTAAATTCTAAATATCAGGTAAACTATTAAAGTTAGACATATGACATACTTATCATTAATTAACGAGAACTTGATGAGCAATTCAACTAGCACACAATATACAGGGTGTTCCATTTAAAAAATTTAAGAAAAAGCCATTTGAAAAACATCAAAAGGAACTAAGCTTTATAAACACCCTGTATAGTGTATCTAATATCTTTGAATACTATCATCTACATACTGGCTTTGACTATTGTCTGACGTAGTTTCAAGGCAAAATCGGAAAAAATGTCGTTTTTAAATCGTTTTTAAAAAGATCCTGTAATGGGCACATTTTGGAAGAACAATTGAATATCTCAGGAATTATGAACGCTGTGAAATAGTAACATATACGGTTATATAAACAAATTTAGTTGTCTTCATAATATGATAAAATAAACAGGGTGTTAAATTGAAATAAATTGGCGTACTCTCCGTTACGCATAAATGGAACACCCTGTATAAGTGAAATTTTTTTTCAAGTTGTGATAACAACTTTTATATAAAATATTTTTTTGTTTTTCAAACGGTTTAATATCTATCGACCGCCGAGGCAGCTTTAAATTCCTTATCACTGAAAACATGCTCTTCATTCAGCTGATGCAGGGTAACCTCAGAAGACACCTCGAAATCCTCAAGGACCCATGTCTAAATCACTTAATTGAAATTAAAATGGAACCGTATACCGATAGAATACAATTTTGACCAGCAGTATCAGGCCATATTTAGAAGCAGGGATGATTGAACGAAGGGGGGCCCTCAACTAAAAAGAGAAGCCTTTGCCTGGTATACGGATGTTTCAAAGACAGTTGGATCCGGAGTAGGCATGGGCATTAGTGGACCAAATAGCCGCATTAAATTATCACTCAGCTCGGACATAAACATTTTCACAGACAGTTACATCAGAGAGTGTATCAGCAAACTGAGAGAATTCGCTAAGGGCAATGATGTTACTCTATGGTGGGTTCTAGGTCACAGAGACATTGAGGGCAATGAGAAGGATGACCAAAGAGGCAGCGAAAACGCCCTTTATTGGACCCCAGCTCGGTGGTAGACTACAAAAAAGCCACCTAAAACAAGTAATCAACAGTTAGGAGGCCTCAAAGGTAACCTTATGCAGGAAAGAACTTCCAGGTCACAGACAAGCGAAGAGTATGATAACTCCGTCGCAATACAAAACCAAAAAGGTTTTATGCCTCAGCAAAGGAGATCTAAGGACGCTCTCAGGTTAACCTAAAATACCACCTCTTCCACATTAGACAAGTTGAGGATCAAAGTTTTCGACTTTGCCACGACGAGTCAGAAATGGCTGAACATATACTGCGTAATTGTGCTGCGATAAAGCTTTTTTGACACCTACCAACATAAAAAAACAAGACCTTGGAGCAATACTAAGGTTGATCGCGGTAACGAGGGCCCGGCAGCAATAATAATAATAATAGACCTAGGACTGAAAAGTTTCGGGTTTACCCGTGCGTCTTCAGACGCAGTTTTATTTCTAGTCGTAATACTAGTGTTAATTCAAAAGTATTTTCTATTTTTTTCTTTACTATTACATAAAGTTACAATTCAAGAATGACATGTAATTGTCAACTTAAATTTTAGTATAACCCAAAATATATTTATATAACCAAATGTTTCGTCGTATAAACCAAACAATATCCGAACGCTGCGAAAGCGGTTTTTGCACAGTAGTTGCTCAAAGATATGTTGTCGCTTTTATAATGTGTCTCAATATCACGCAATTTAAAACGTTATCGTTATGCTATGAGACATCTTTATTGTACCTAATCGATTGGGGAGGAACAAACACTTCTAATTTAACTAAAGATCCAAACGCCATGTTTGTAATCAACGATACAATACCCAGTGGAAGTCTCTGCACCGAATCGGCGGTGATGATACCGTATTCTATGATAACCTCCCAAATGGATTTTGACGCATTGTTTATGTCAAATAATATTTATTGTTATACGTTATTAATTACGCATCTCCCGGTGGGGTTAACGTGTGATAAATTAGGGATTAGGAACTCAATTATTGCTTCATCGATTATTGGTGTTTTATTATCCAGTACTTATCCTACTATATTAACAAAAAGTAATTCATTTGTGTTTTTAACACATAGAATAGCTCAAGGTATTTATTATTTATTATTACATTTTAATATTTTTATGTTTCCAAATTTGATTTTAGGGTTATTAGAAGCAATAATCAATGTAGTAACTGTGCATTTAGTGTCGCATTGGACCACGAAAGACGAATACACAATTGTGTTAACGTTATGTAATGCGGGCGCAGCTTTGGGTGCGTTATATCATGAAATATTAACATATGCTTTACTCTTCGTGAGATGGGATATAATGTTTTATATTATTTCTGCGTCGTATGCCGTCACTTTGTTATTAAATATTTATTTTGTGTACAATAATCCTCTACAATCGCCGTTTGCTAGTAAAGAAGAGAAAGATAAGGTGATGCAAGAATTGGGGGAAGAATACCCTGAACGTATTCCGTGGAAACAAATTGGCCGAGATGGTTCTATATGGGCGTTATTACCTGGGCAATTAGGAACGGATATAATGAGAATTTTTCTTTTCGTCTATATTTCTAAGTATCTAAGATTGGTGATAGGAATAAATATTTTTAAATACTATTATTACATGATTATCTGTCATATCGGAACGGTGTTTATGCCGATGTTGTGGTGCTTATTAGCCCAGTACTTTATTAATAAGAAGATGATGCCCGTTTTGTATGTAAGAACATTTTCAGCCGGATTAGGAAACATTATGCCGTTTATTTTCGTGATTTTATCGACATATAGTGGCTGTTTAGCAGAAAGTATCATAATTTGTTACACCGTGGGGTCAATCATTCGCGATCTCTCTTTAGTTGGTACAGCAGTTAATGTGTTAGATATAACTAGATATTACAGTGGATTAATAGAGGCTATCACCCACGGTATTGGACGAGGAGTTGGTGGTCTCATCGTATCTAAAATGTTGTCACATGTGCGATTAGAAACAATAAACGATTTTCGATTAGCAACATGCGCTGTGGGTTCTGTAAGCATGTTTCTTACAATTTTATATTACGTATGGGCCGATGCAAGTAGAGCGAAATGGGATACTATTGAAACGGAAGAAGATGTAATCGGGTTAAGACTACATAAGAGGTTAAAATGATTTAACAAAAAATTTCTAACAATTAATTAATTCTTCATTTAGGCAAATCCAAGAAAATCCTAATATACATAGTATTCAGTTTTAAAGATGTTTTGAAATACGACGAACGATAATTCATCTTTTTTTTTGTATGCGTCGGGTATCAATGCACCATCGTTCGCCTCGATGAAGAAACCTAATTGGTCTTTCAAAGATGTAAGGTGGCCAAAGAAATTTTAGGTAAGAGGAACGTTGTGGATCCAGTGGAATGTTAATGGTCCATTAAGTTAACGAGAAGTGGTATTTACATGACAATGAAATGTTTACAAGTGATTGTAAAAGTAGCTCATTGAGTATATAAAAAAATAGACTTTGTAACTAATCGGTAAACTATTTATTTTCCTTTCCCCGCTGTTCATCACCACGGGAATAAAAAAAAAAACATAACTAACCGGGGCGATAATAAAAAATGTATGCAGATTCGGGCGAATTTCAAAAGCGCGCCCCTCGAAAACAGCGCGTCGGCTCAATTATCCGGGACTCTATCATGTAAATGAGACACCCCGCGGCCCCGTTTTTACGCGTTGCGTTTTTTGGGGGGTGGAGGCGTCGGTTGCCAGGAATAGATAAAAAAAAAAGGGAAAAACGTGGATACCGAGAACGGACGGACGGTCGAATCCGGGAGGAGATAACTCGATTCGCGTAATGAGGGGCTGAATGGGTAGCCGAGCGTGCGTTTCGGGGCGCCGGGCGTTGAGGGGCCCCTTTCTCGGGTAACTGTATTGTCCGAGCGACTGCACCGGGATAATCCGTTTACGAGGATCTTTGTACGGGCGATTTCACGGGTCACGGGATGTCTTCCGCCTCGGGGGCCTACGAACACCCCACAGAATTTCAAGTTTCTTAATTGAGGTTGTTTCTTGTGTTGGTTGTTTCGAGTTTCTTCAGCTTCATAAACTTTTTTTTGTTTTATTGATAACTTCACTCTTAATTTTTGTTTAGAAATATTATCTAAAAACTTGAAAATGATTTTGATCTAATCCATTCGAACTTCCACTGCAGCTGATATTGTCGTTCATGTCTCTATATCTCTGTGTTAAAACATTAAATGAAAATGGGGCTTCTTGTGCTTCCAAAAGTACTGCTTCCTTGGTTGCAAAAGTATGGCATATATCAAAAGCAACTTTTTCCAGATTTGATGTATAAGAGATGATGGAGAATGAGATACAGTTCAAATTGAGTTGATGAAAAATTCTGCTCAGGTTGAAACTTAAAAATATTTATGTAAAAAAATAGGGACTGCAAAAAATAGGTTTTTTTTTAAATATTTGTTGCTATAGGCGACCAGGAATACGATGTAGGTTACATTAAGTTGATCAGAAATTCTGTTTAACTCGCAATTTGTAAAAATTCAAGAAAATCCAATAAATCAGGAAATGTCAGAAACAATTTTCTTTACATATTTGCTTCTATAAATAAAAAGGAATGTAATGCAGCAAAAATTAAAAGAATTAGAAATTCTGTTCAAATTAAATTTTTCAAGAGTTTTAGAAAAGCTGATTTCCAGAGAAGCAGAAAATAGCGGAAATAAGTTTCGTTTAATGTTTGCTGTTTTATACATGATGAAGAATATGATAAAGTTCAAATTAAGTTGATCAAAAATTTTGTTCCACCCAGACATTACAAAAATTAAAGAAAATCGAAGTTTCCAATAAACCATGAAATGTCAAAAATAGTTTTTTTTACATATTTGCTACAATAAACAAAAAGGAATACAATGCAGCACAAAATAAAAGAGTTAGAAATTCTGTTCAAATTAAAATTTTCAATAGTTTAAGAAAAGCTGATTTCCAGAGAAGCAGAAAATAGTAAAAATAAGTTTCGTTTAATGTTTACTGTTTTATAGATGATGGGAAATATGATACAGTTCGATTTAAGTTGATCAGAAAGTTTGTTCAACCCGGAAATTGCAAAAATTCAAGAAAATCCAGGTTTCCAATAAACCAGGAAATGTCAGAAACAGTTTCTTTTACATATTTGCTGACATAAACAAAAAGAAAATAGTAAAAATAAGTTTCGTTTAATGTTTACTGTTTTATAGATGATGGGGAATGTGATACCATTCAAATTAAGTTGATCAGAAATTTTTTAACTCTGAAATTGCAAAAATTCTAGAAAATCTAGATTTCCAATAAACCAGGAAATATCAGAAACAGTTTTCTTTACATATTTGCTACTAGAAACAAAAAGGAATACAATGCAGCACAAATTAAAAGAGCTAGAAATTCTGTTCAAATCCAAATTTTCAAGAGATTCAAAAAAGCTGATTTCCAGAGAAGCAGAAAATAATAAAAATAAGCTTCGTTTAATGTTTGCTGTTTTATACATGATGGGGAANTTTTATCTCAAATTTTATAAATTAAATACAGATTCCTATTTTTTCAATTGTTCATAACCTAGAAATAACTCATTTGCCCAACTTGTCACACATATAATAGTTGGCGAGTTTATTTATTAATATTAGTTTTTGTGATAGATAGTTGTAGTTTAGTGCATGAATAGATATAATAATAAGCAAACATTCACTTCCCAACGTTTATAGAAACTAGTTAACGTAAGTGTTTTTTACAATTAATAGTCCCTCTTTTGTTAACCTATAAAATATAATTATGAATAATTTTTATACTTACCTTTGTAGAGGTCTCTGAAGACGGTAATGTAACCGAAACTAGTAAGACAAATATATAAATAATCACCATAGTATATAATTTTAATTAATATTTACCTTATCATAATAAAGGTAAGAAGAAAAACTGAAAATCTCTAGGGATCACCGATGTGGGAATCTTACTTACTTTAAAACATGGGCTTGTAGAATCCGTCATGGAATAGTTACCAGTAGTCAAAAAAAAATTTTCGGTTTTAGATTTTGAGATATTATGACAATTTTCGTTTTTTTAATAGAAACAACCACTTATTCGCTTATTAAATTCGTTATTTTTTTCTGATTACAAAAATATAGGGCTAGACAGGTCTATCTAGACTCTAGACCAAGAACTTATACAGGTGTCCCGCACCGATTGTACAAAACTGCATCAGCGTATTCTATGATCAAAAATAAACAAAAAAAGCCTAATAAACATAGGTCCGAAAATGGACCATTTTCATTGGAATTCTTTGAAATTATTGGAAATATTTTGAAAATCCTTCAACACACATTTATCTCAAGTCTTGAGATATGGCTAAACCCAAATGTTAACTCTAGTTTTAATTCAATAAAACATATCAAGAAAACACCATAAGTATAGAACGACATTTATTTCTGCATTTTGTACTTTTTGCAGAATTTCTGTTCATTTCAATTGCATTGCTTTCCTTGTTGTTTATAGCAACAAATATGTAAAAAAACTGTTTCTGACATTTCCCCATTTATTGGAACACTGGATTTGCTTGAATTTTTGGGTTGGACAAAATTTCTGATCAATTTAATTTGAATTGTATCATATTCCCCATCATGTATAAAGCAGTAAACATTAAACGAAGCTTATTTTTACTATTTTCTGCTTCTCTGGAAATCAGCTTTTTTGAATCTCTTAAAAATTTGAATTTGAACAGTATTTTTAACTCTTTTAATTTGTGCTGCATTGTATTCTTTTTTGTTTCTAGTAGCAAATATGTAAAGAAAACTGTTTCTGACATTTCCTGGTTTAGTGGAAATCTAGATTTTCTTGAATGTTTGCAATTTCAGGGTTGAACAACATTTCTGATTAACTTAATTTGAACTGTATCATATTCCCCATCATCTATAAAACAGTAAACATTAAACGAAATTTATTTCCGCTATTTTCTGCTTCTCTGGAAATCGCGCTTTTCTGAATCTCTTGAAAATTTGAATTTGAACAGAATTTCTAACTCTTTTAATTTGTGCTGTATTGCATTCCTTTTTGTTTATAGTAGCAAATGTGTAAAGAAAACTGTTTCTAACTTTTCCCGATTTATTGGAAACCTGGATTTGCTTGAATTTTTGCAATTTTTGGGTTGGACAAAATTTCTGATCAATTTAATTTGAATTGTATCATATTTCCCATCATGTATAAAGCAGTAAACATTAAACGAAGCTTATTTTTACTATTTTCTGCTTCTCTGGAAATCAGCTTTTTTGAATCTCTTAAAAATTTGAATTTGAACAGTATTTTTANAAGCTAGAGTTAACATTTGGGTTTAGCCATATCTCAAGACATGAGATAAATGTGTGTTTTGAAGGATTTTCAAAATATTTCCAATAATTTCAAAGAATTCCAAAGAATTTTGGGATTTATTTGGATGCACCATCAGCTCTTTTGTAAGATAATCCAGAGATTTTATTTATTAAATGTATTATCTAACCATCCCCTTTTAAAACGCACGTGTTTCTTATCATTCCATCAAAAATTCAACTGAGCGTATAAAACACAATATTGAAAAGATAAAAACACGTTGTTAGAAGTACGATTTTCTATGTTGTAAATCACCTCACCGTACTTATACTAGGTATCCAAAAGCTACGCCTCTTCTCGCTATCGACGTTATAAAGAGAGAGAGGCGTCGTTTCCATGGTGACGCCAAACAAGGTCGTCGCGACGCCTACAACAGCTTCCGGAGCAGAGCTTTGAGTCCGCAATCATGTTGATCCGGGTTCCCGTACTAAAGGGGAGAGGCTGCAGCACCGGGCACACTGATTTTCATTTCAAAATGTTTTGCGTTTAATTGCGCCGTATTGTATTCGAGTTACATGTTTTAAAATAAACGTAAAACGATAAGTTTAATGTAATTAATTAATAATGATTATTATTGGCACATATTTTTTGTTGTTTATCTTATTTGCGTAATCCCTTTCTATGGCGCGCTTTACGCCACCGACGCATTTTTTTCTCTTATTGAATCTGCAGCGAAGGTTTAATCACTAATTAGAACTAATTTTACTATTGATTGCATTGAAATTATTTAGATTTAATTTGTTGTTTTATGTGACACGTTATTAATTTAGTTAATTTTGATTAATTAATTTTTGTGAAAGGTACCAAAGATTTTCTTAATTTTATTTCAACCCGTATGATATTCGAACGATGTTGCTATATCTATATGCAGATAGCTTGTAGTTATTGTTATAGACACACATACCATTAGGGCGATATTTCATTTTGACGCGGTTCCATTCCTCACCCATGGTTCCTATTCATTCGTATACTGCAACAAGAAACCAACAAGAAAACCGTCCCGGTACAAAGTCGGAGCGACGACCTCCGAGGAGGTGTTTATATACGATATTACCAGGTACACGATCACATCAAACGCTTCATTAATCCACATATTCGATAGCCCAACAATACCGATAACGAATATCTTCTCTGTTGGTCCACGAAATGAAAGCAATTTAAAATTCCGATTGCTTTATCGATAACGACGCTTTCCGCTTCCTGTTACTTTCAAATTAGGTTTTTTTTTTGAAGTCGCCCTTTTTTATTAGCCAATTTTCGCCCTTCCTTAAAGTCAAGTTTAAATTCGTCAACTCCTCAATGCTAATGAGGAAAAAGAAAAGTTAAAAGGAAAAAAATGAAAAGAATGTGATGAAATCTTTTTCGTAAAATGATAGCTAGATTTTAACATGACCGTGGGTCGGCGGTTAACTTAATGAGTTAATAAAAATTCAATGGGGCGAACGCCTCAATAAAACAAACACGGGGCGCCGGCGCCTTTTAACTTTTTCGACAATAGATCGGTAAGTGTCATGGTTGGGCTGAATTATGGCGGATTTTCAATGAATAACTTAAAACGAAAAGCGGGCGCGCTGCTGTAAACATTATGACACGGGAAGAGCCAGTCGTATTTACTCATCCACCCATGGTATCTTGAGTATCTTCGCTTCGTTTTAATTAAGTCGAACAATGCATATTATTATCATTTTTTACCCTACTAATTGACGTACTATTTTATGTAGAGCGGTCTCAGATGATTTTTTTTTAATAATTTATACTTTTATGGCCTATTCCATAAATGTATCAAATAAAATATATAATATAAAATAAAATCTGTGTGGGCTGACCACATTTAATTATCATAATTAAATGTGGTACAAACGTCTCACTTATCGATTGAAATTACAACTACAACACATTAAATTCCTGAAAACTTGCTTAAGAGAAAAACTATTTCCTAACTTCACCAATAAAAATTATCCAGAACACTTATATGAAAATAAAATAATATCCTTGAAAACACAGCACATTAAAAAGACTATAAACGGACACTACAATAAGATCAACTTAATTAATATAGAACTATATTATTTGTACCAAACAATTAGTAAACAAGTACACCACATCGAACTAGAACAAAGCATTGAAGATGCCAAGAAACACGATAACAATTTATTAGAAGAAATAAATAAAAAGAAAAGAGAAAAACTACACAAACTCAGAGAAAGAAAAACTAGAGAAATAGATGATAAATTCAAAGACATTAGCACACATAATTTTCATCCCAGAATCACAAATCTTACAAATGTTAGTTTCAGTCAGGAAGAAGAAGAATTTCTGAACAAAGGACAGAAATTTGCCACAAAAACAAATCTTAATTTACCCCTAATTGCCATAGAAATACAATCCACTCTAAAAGGACACAAAGATGAAGAAAAGATAAAAAAGGATATACAACAAATACTTTTGAAGGAGGAAAAGAATAGAAGACATAACAACAATACCGAAAAGAAAATGATAAAAAACCAATCAAGAACTATTAAGAACATTAAACAGAAAATAGAGGAAAACAATCTAATAGTCACACCAGGAGACAAGAACGCTGGTCTAATAATTCTAAAAAGAGAAAAATATATCTCCAAAACAGAACATTTCATGAAAGATAACAACTTTGAATTAATAAACAAAAACCCCACTAAAACCTTTCATAAAGAAACAAAAAATACCATTAAAAAATGTGAAGAAACACTTTATAAAATAACAGGTAACAAAAGAACGTTGAACATAATGAATCCTCAAATCCCAAAATTATATTCACTCATAAAATTACACAAAGAAGATCACCCAAAAATACTAGTTAATTTTTTGAAAAACTACATAAACTTTCAACCCAAACATACAATCATCAACCGAAATCAACTTATCTCCCTAATTACTAACCTACGATTACCCAATAAATACAAAATTTTATCATTTGACATTAAAAACTTATATACAAATATACCAGTTCAAGAAACCTTAGAAACAATTAAAGAAATTATTCAAGATACCTTTACAAAAGAAGACGACATCAAAAATATTTTAACCTTATTTAGACAGTGTACAAAACAAAATTTTTGCCAATTCAACAACCAGATCTATAAATACAATGATGGACTTTCAATGGGTTCACCTCTAAGCAGCATTCTCGCAGATGTCTTTCTTAATAAAATTGAAACAGAAAAGATTATCAATGAAAACAACCCCTACAATAAACACATTCTTTTATGGACCAGGTATGTAGATGATATTTTGGTTGTCATTGATGATGAAACAAAAATAAGTGATCTGCACAACTATATAAATACTCTGCACAATAAATTACAATTTACGGTTGAAATTGAAAATGAAAACAAGATAAACTTTATGGACCTCACGCTTTCCAGAAATAATAACACAATAGAATTCTCCATTTATCGCAAACCTACGCAAACCGACTGTATCATACCCTACGAATCTCATCATCACGAAAACCAGAAATATGCT